TGTATATTTGTCAACATTTACAATATTTTTAATTTTAATTACTGCCTTTATTGTAATACTAATCTTCACAAGGAAAGAAATACATTAAAAATACAAGTATAACGATGCAGGATAGTCATAAATCAAAGGGGGAAGTTAATCAAGAGCTCCACAAAATCCCAACTAAATGTAATCCAACACTGATTTTCTTATTCAAAACACTTCTGCTATAAATGTTCTTAATACCATACCAAAAATCTAGATTCACTAATCTAGACTGTTTACACTGCCGTTGGAGATTTATAAACAGCTGTGGAATTTTTTCTCGGCACAACTCTATTAGATAGGCTGCGGCAGCCTCACTCCATATTACTCTCCTTTTTTTTGATACTATTTTCTGCGATTTTTTCCTTTTTACTTGGTATTGCTATAATTTTTTACTTTTTTCTTTATTTTTTTGTTTAACTTTTTTCACATTGACTTTAAAGTGTCCAAATTAGCTGTGATAAAACCAAATGTGACAAAGAAATGGCGCTAAATCATCATAGGGAGATTTCAAGTAGATTCGATTCAAATCGAACCTCGGTGACGAGATTAACAAGTATCATTTAGATTATTGAGATAATTAAGTGTCGGTCGGAACATTGTGTATCGCAAACAATTATGAATTCTTTTCTCAAGAAACGTTGTACAATAACTCTCGCCTCACTTATATCGGGTTTTTCAATAGGCATGATATGATTTCTAAGTGTCGTTTCGACCATGATCTGTAATTTTCTTGCATTCACTAATGTTTACAATTTCATGAAATTTCATGAAAATATATACGCAAGAACAACGTTTACAAATTATTGAAGTTTATTATGAAAATAATCGTGCCCCAATTGGGAACTTTTCGTGCGCTTTTGCCATTTTATGGTCGTTATGGTTATGGTGAATGGTACGGTAAATAAACAAATCTATCGATTTTGATGCGAAGAAAATCCACAAATTATTCATGAACAACCATTACATTCACCTGAACTGATAGTTTGGTGTGGTTGATCGACGATAACAAACTTTTTATGGCCGCAATTAGAAGAAGTTGATCTTGACAACATTTGGTTCCAACAAGACTAAGGCTACGTGCAACAACCGAATTATTGCGAGAAAAGTTTGGAGATTCGATCATTTCAAGAAATTGTGACATTGAATGGAATCCAAGAAGTTGTGATTAACACCATTATACTACTTCTTGTGGGGTTATTTGAAGTCATTGGTCTTAAGCAATAAACCCGACTGTATTCAAGCTTTAGAAGTCAATATTAAACGTGCTATTTATGACATACGACTGGATTTAGTAGAAAAAGTACTCAAAAATTGGGTTCATCGAATTCGTCCTTGCACATAAAGTCGTGGAGGCCATTTGAACGGTGTTATATTCAGAACTTAATTGTATCGATTGTACTTCACATTAAATAAAAAAAATTTTAATTTCCCTAACAATTAGAGTGATTTAAAAAACAAAATCATATCGCTCTTATTGCAAAGTCCTTTACTATGACTTAATAAACAAATTCAATTCCAATATACGTATCATATTACGCAATAATTGTACTGTTATAAACAACACAACAACGTAAAATTTTTTCTTACCTTCATATAATTATAATAAGTAATAACAAATAATATTACCATTAAACAAACTCCCCTCCCACTATTCACTCCACATCCAGTCCATTAAAAAATATTTGGTAAACAACACAAATTCTTATGTCTTGCTTTTGACGAGTTTATTTATTAATAAAGTAACAAAATTTAGGAGAAATAATTGTAATGATAGCGAATTAACATTTATTTAATATAGTTTAAGTTGATAAAGGAGAAAAAAAAGAAAGTTCTAATAATATTCAAGTAACCCAAGAACTGATTTTAATAGAATCGACTTTTTTTTGGGAAGTAATTTTCTTTGACTCAATTCAATCCGAGTTTTTTTTCGAGAACTTTGGACTTCTATTGCTTTCACTCTACATTTATTATATATTTTTTAAACACATAATCAAGTATTTTTTTAACAGTATATTCAAAAGTTCACATTGATAGGATGTAGCTGTATACATGTGCATGTGTAAGGGCGAATAAAATAAACGGTTTATGATTTTATGAAAATGATAATCTATATATCTCTATATATAAAAATGAATCCAGTTGTCACGCTATAACTTTAGAATGGCTAGACCGATTTGGCTGTTTTTTTTTTCGTAGTTTTCTAATACTATGTAGAAGGTTCCTAAATATTAAGAAAATGTCTCTGAAAGATTGGAAAAATACATTTAATTTTGCATATTTTAAAAAACTCGCGTAACGAATGTCATCGTAATTCACAGCCATAGACTATATTGAAAGAGCATCGTTTGTTTGGAAATGTGGTTACTTAATTAAATTCTATCGCACTATTTAAAAGACTAAGAAGTTTGTTGGTTGCTAATAAGTGTTTGTTAATCACTGTAAGTTCAAAGCTTTATATTGATTTTTGGTAACTTCTAATGACTACACAATATTAATTAATTATGAAATTACTAAAGTACTCAGTTATGGCGACACCAGGGAAATAGGGATTAATTTTTATATGGAGATATTATAGATTCCAATTTAAATTGAATAGGTACTAATACCTAAGATGGGACAATTGTCAGCTATACAAAGTAAAGTAGTGTATCAAAGCAACGCTATGGCGGTACGAAGTTCGCCGGGTCAGCTAGTATTAAATAAAACCAAAGGACAAATAAACATGGCGAACAAAACGCAAATATTGAAAACACAGAAAGATCTGTGACTAAATGCAATCAGGATTATCAGTGGATTCCGCACGGTGTCGCATGAGGCGTCTGAAGTCATAGCGGACATCATACCACCAGATATAATGGCACAAGAACTCAAGTTTACGACAATTCCAGAGGCATTCCAAGACGTCTCACAACAGAAGAGCGAAACGAAGAAAGGCAGAAAAGTATATGTGAGTGGCAGAGGCGCTGGGACATCGTAGAAAAAGGAAGGTGGACGTACAAGTTAATCGGAAATGTGCAAGCCTGGATGGAGAGAAAGCACGGCGAGACTGATTATTACATGATCCAATTTCTGACCAATCACGTATGCTTCAGGGAATACCTATTTATATACGGTCACGATATCAGGACAAATTATTCTTTTTGTGGTAACGGCAGCGAAAGCGCTCAGCATATTTTTTTTACCTGTCCGAAATTCGAAATAGAGAGAACAGAGATAAAGGCTGTTATAAAAGAACGGGTGACTCCAGAAGATATTGCATATCAAAGCTGCATTAGATTCTATTTGGAACAATGAGCTCTTGTATAAAATGAAGCTCTTGAAGTTATATTATATTATATATATTATTATTATTCAGAGTTTTCTTCCGACAAACCGATTATTCACAGTCCAACTGGGTGAAGCACAGTCTCTCAAAATTGGCATCTATGCGGGTTGTCCCCAAGGTTAGTGCCTGTCTCCATTGTTATATAACTGATTTCCCGGCGCTAAGGAAAAGCACAGCTTTCGATACCGCAATAATCTGCTCGGGTTCCATTGCAGCGGATAACACAATTTACTCTAACAAAACTTTAACTAATGGAAAATTGTGGTTGATACTAAGTAAATTCCAGCAGTTTTCTTCACAAGAAAGCTTAACTCGCATTTTTCTCACAAAAAAAAAAATTTCTCTTAATTCTATTGACGTCAACTGGGAAAAAAGTGTTGAATATTTATTTATATTTTATTTCTATTATTAATATACGTGATTTACCATATATTATTAAAAAAACTCCTCAGAGCTACATGACAGCGAATGTTGAATTGGTCGCAGCTAGATTGACTTGATTAAATAGGAGGTATAACGATCATTGTGAGCATTCTCCGAGTACTCTCATATTAATAAATTAAAAATTAACGGCTATAAAATATAATCTTAATTATAAATTAGACATGACTATTCTTCAAGGGCTTTTTGTAAATTAAATCAAAGTTACCTTTCAAAATACTAAAACTAAGCTATTCATATTTACATACAGTAAATTTTTTTAAGCAGAAAAGGCGATATCGCCTGTACTCCGCACTTTTATACATTAGTCACTGTAAATACACATATGTATAATTTAAGATGAAGTGAAATAAATTTGAATTTGAAATATTAAATATTAGAGAGAAGAAAAGTAAGGTATTGTAGACAGTTATTTTTTCGACTTGAACGTTTGGTGGACTGATGTTTCGCGTCGAGAAAGACTTGCACCTCGGCGGTGGAATGTACCGATAAGCCGAGTGCTGGATCGCAGTTGCCTTATTTGCACTCACACTAAGGGCGTGTGAGGAAATTCCTGGTGATCCTTATCAAGATAAATTTGATTTTTGTATTGTCACCGGTTCTTAATACGACGACAAAGTTTAAATTAAACTTGTCATTTTTTAATCAACCCCATGATGCCTTAGATTGCGTACATAGTGATTTTAATTTGGAAACTAGTTTATGTATGACACAAAACGATTTGGAAAGTCAAATTGCGAATAATATGTTCCGATAAAAAGAAACAAAAATTACGTTGCAAACAATACAAACTTGCTTATATGTAAACCAAACTGATTTTATTAAAGTAAATGTGGCACCACATAAGAGCTCAATATGTGAAGAAATACTTTCTAGTTGTACTGTGCATCTAATTGTTTCCAGGGCTAATATGTGGCCACTGTTATTGTAATTACCACGAAAAAAATTTAGAATATAAGAAACCATGTGCCATTTGTGCCGTATTCTATGAAAAAAAAACTATAAAATATTTTTTTATTTTAAACAATTACCAAAGCACCTTATTTCAAAAAATAAGTCCGTCCGTTTCACAAATATTAAATGTATTACTATTGAAGATTGCGTAACATTGTTGCGTAAGCTAATTTTACACTATTTTTTAGGATAGAAATATATGTATTTTATATTATAAAGATATTGGAATTTCAACAAATAATTTATTTAAGAAGTTTATATCTTTAAAAATTAAATTTAGAACTATATAATAATATAGCAATGTTTTATGTAAAGAGTCCCTAAATGCTGAAATATAAAACGTTAATAAAATGTGTGATTAAATAAAAGCATACTTAAATTAGAGGAACCATCGGCTCAGTAATTATTTCTTGGTATATCTACAATGATAAATTTTGCTTAATTGTTAAAATTAATTTTTATGACTTGTATGATAATGATAAATTTTGTTTTATTGATTATATGAATTATTATGACTTATAATATCAAATTCTGTTACAATAGTTATTTTTTTCCCGTCCACTCATATTGAATTTTCAGGTTGTCCACTAATAAGTTAATTAATATGCTTAAAAATATGCCCCATATACAAGTATACCTATATCAACATGGTATAGTATCATATTTTGCATTAAACATCATTCTATAACAAAAATTGAAACTATTAAATAAATTATAAATACGGTGTTTTTTATTATCCGCAACACGTTTTAACCCCTCGCCTCGCCTCACGAGAGGCTGCCATGTTGGTTTGATTGTGAACGTACACCAGGGAGGTAGGAAAGTACTGTGAATGGGCACTTGCGCTATTTCCTTGTATCATGCTTTTTGGCGATAGAGAAAAATTTAAACATACATTTATCTAAAATATCTTCGTAGTAAAATTTTGACTTGCGACTTAAAAAATACGATATTTTAAAAAATATACAGTATGGCCCCACATGCATGAAACATAATAATGGTGAATATAACTCCGAGAAGAGGACGAAAATAAGTTAACAAATATCAAAGCGCAAGTGAGTATTTTTAGCACGATAGATAGGTAAATATAATAAATTGTTTGGTTGTGGGCCTTTCTAAAATGCAGAAACAAGGCACATGGCGCCATTTTTTGAGGTTGTATTATATAAAATAAAATTAATATGTACATATTACAAGTAAAAATAACTTTACTGTTTTTTGTGTCAATTAATTGTTTGAAAAAGTTGTCTTTTTTAAAGAAACTTTGTTTGAAAATGATTAATTTTGGTACTCTCAACTACATTTTCGCACAGTTATTGGATTAAATTCGGCAAAATTAAAAATGATCAAATACCATCTCTGGTCGGTACTCGAATCGATTAACAATGTTGTTTTTGATTTTTTTAAATGGTTTTTCAGCACGGGTGTTTGATCAGACCCAATCATGCTCGTTGCAATACTCTGATGTGGACATTTATTGCTTTAATATGAAAACTGTTTTTGCCCACGTATGACAATAATAATGAAATTTAAAAAATTATTAAATGAGTACAAAAATCCACAGAACACTCAATCTCGTTTCTTATTTTCTTAATAGCCTGATAATGCCTAACAATACCCTAGATATTTTCGAAAATGTTATGGCAGTATATGCTGTCTGACACCACCAGACGTATGACGACTGGTCACCTCTAAATTTCGACAAGGAATTCTCCAAGTCGGTGAATTCATCGCACCTGACTATTGAAGCGATCATAGATGATTTATTATTGTTCTAACATTCTCATTAATTACCCAGCAAAACCTGCGAAACCGAAACTCCAATACATGTACACAATTTCCACTTGCTACTAACACCCTCTCACAATCCTTTGAAATGAGTAAGAAATCAATCCATTGTGTCTTTAGTTTGTTTTATATTACAAACTCTTCAATCAAGAGGCATCAAGTAAAAATAAAACATAAGAAGACAAATTGATTTATTAGTAAAATTGAAATGTGTGCAGATGTAATCTAATATTTAATTTGATAAATTAAAATTATGTATATTTATATATGAACATATTAGTTTGAAAAAAAAGTTTTAGGCCTTACGCATAAAAATTTTCTAAAACTGTAGGCTGAGGAAACGGCAAGCGTATGCTTTACACACTAGGCTAATATGGAATGCACCGTCGCGCTTTTCTAAATGCAGTTTTGTTGATTTGCTCTAAACTTAACGAAAGTGTGAGCGAGAAGGGCATAAAAAATTACACGTATATAAAAGTTGACCGCATTTGGATTTATAGCTACTCTGAGCTTATGAGAATATTATTTTATTGAAATTCTCTTCATACGAATAAGTTTAAAAATGAATAGAACAAGATGGGAAGAAAATAGAAAATTTTCTGCTCATCTAAATCAGTGTTTTACACCAAAAATTTAGATCATTGTATAAGCCTACCTAGATTTATACAATGATTTAGATAGATTTACGCTTATATTAGGCGTGTTACGAATATATATAATATTATCCGATCCGTTCATAGCTGCTAGTATTCATCCTAAATGATTGATGGATGAAAAAGCCATTAATTTCCTTAGGGAGGTTTGGTTAAGCCCTCCTAAGGAACCGGTAATAGTTGAAGTAATAATTACTAAGATAATAAAATTGCTTTGTATAGTGTAAGAAATTAATATAAGGGGGGCGATTTTTTGTCATGTTATTAAAGTGAGTGCACTGCTGGATTGACCGCATTTGGATTTATAGCTACTCTGAGCTTATGAGAATATTATTTTATTGAAATTTTCTTCATACGAATAAGTTTAAAAATGAATGGAACAAGATGGGAAAAAAATAGGAAATTTTGTGCTCATCTTAATAATTGTTTTACACCAAAAATTTAGATAGATTTACGCTTATATTAGGCGTGTTAGGAATAAATATAATATTATAATCGTTTACTTGAGTAAAAATTTAGATATCGCGAAGAAACTGGCCGCACTAACAAATAGATGTTATTCGGAGAACAGAGAATTTGTAATGAAAATTTCTTAAATTTCATCACCCTCTGAATTATAAGATCGGAAAGTTAAATATAATTAAGTGATTCATAAATTTACATGTGTTCAAAATCTAGACACTAGGTGTTGCACGGGATATTATTTCATGTTGTTCATATCTTGAAAAGGACTTGATTGACATGAACCAAGGTAACCAATCGCAGGAGTATCAAACCAGATGTTTTGAAACTTTAAATAAGATTTCAAAAAATCTTAATCGGAAAATAAGAGGTTTGAAATCAAAAGTTTTTAAAAATTCAGTCATTAATCAATGAAAGAAATTCCAATTACCCTCTGTGGAAAATCTGGATAAGACTACAAGCACCATCACTCAGAACAAAGACTGACACTTGGGTCAGAATAACTCTAAAAACGATCAGGAATTTTCAGAATAATTAGCGAACATATTTTCTCCACATGAAACACTCGTAGATTTTTCTCATATTTTTATCTATTCACTCAAGGAAACGAAGTAATCTCAAGATACATAAGAAGTGATCTGAGTGAAGTAATCAAAACCCTAACAAAAATCACTCGGTTACGACCTGATTACTGCCAATGCTCTGACAAATATTCCTTCAATAAATCAAAAAATATAGTAAAAATTACCAACATTTTTAATGAGTCATTTCAGCTTAAATACGTGCTAACTTATTGAAAAACTGTAGAAGTTATTATGATTTAAAAGCCAGCAAAACCAGGTTATCGTCTAACAGGCCTAAGTCGCTCCTACCGATAACGTTCAAACTTTTTGAGAAAATTCATTTAAAACGACTCTAAAAAATCATAAAACGAAAAACAATAATTCCAGCGCATCAGCTTGTATTTTGCGTAGCATAACAATTTGATGATATATAATATTAATCAAGCTACAATGGAGACATCGGCAAAAAACATTACAATAGTTGTGTGATTGACTTTCGGCCAAGCTCATTTAGAAATGGTCTAAATCGATGCATAGCTTTTCTATCCCGAATTCAGTGGTTAAGGTCAGGTCACTAAATAGTTTTTACACATTTATTTAATATTAAATAGTGCACAAATAGTTTTAAATCGTAATTAAAGTTTTCTTAAATTTTACTTATTTGCACAATAAAAAAACATATTTTGAAAACAAAAAAAATTAATAAAATTACGGTTTTTACACTTATGATTATTAACTCCTGTTGAAATAGTCCTAGTCCTTAACACATGAGTGAATTTTCAGAGTACGCGAGCGTAAATGGTCTTGTATATTTCAAAGGTCTAAATTTAAAAAGATGTAGATGTCACACTAATGAACCGGCGTTACACCACTGTCGCCAAGAAGAAGAGTTCTACGTTAGCGTAGCGTAGGGTTATACTGCATTAAAAATAATAATTGAATTAACATTTGAATTACATTATTTGTTTTTTTTTGCAATCCTAAATACGGGATTCAAAAATAAATGCTTAATCCCGCATACCGGATAAAAAGATTTTTAATTTTTAATTCCAACTACTGGATTGAAAAATTAAAAAAGAAAAATTTCAATCTGAAGCATATAATTAAGAATTAAAAAGAAAATGTTTGATTAGAATTCACAACATCGGGATAACATACGGGTCTAAAAATGATAATCAATTTTTTAATCCCAACATTGGGAGTGTTTATAATTTTAAAAAATCGCAACCCTGGTGCGTACGTAAGTGCAGCTTTTCGGTACTATTTGGGGATATCGCCGTTACAATTAGAGTCAGAAGTAGAATTGTCAAATAAATTCCCAAAGAGATAATTATTTAAAAATGGCTAAATTTAATGATCTACAGATTCCACAACTTAAAAAGGAGCCAAAGCAACGTGGTTTGGCGACAAATGGAATAAAGTCTGAATTACAATCACGGTTACGAGAAGCCATGAAAGCAGAAAACATTAATGTCGACAAATATGTGTTTCAATTGCAATTAGAGGAAGATAATATTGAAGAAAAGGAAGAGATTCAATGCTCGTCAAAGATTATGGACATCAACATGTTTCTTATTGAATTGTCGTAGATAATAATAATAACCCAACGATTACCCTCCTCCCGCCCAACCGACGCGAGTGGCGCAATCCGCATACGTGCGGAATTAGCCGAGTCAGAAAAGGCAAGAGAGTTTTTTAAGTGTTGAGATCTAAAACTGCTCAGCTACAGAAACAAAAATTTCAACAGCTAAGATCCAAGTTACAATATAATAAATTGTTACATATTCATTTATTAAGAGAAAACAATAAAGTCTTTTTAATTTTGAAAAGTGGGTCAGATAAGTCAAATGTGCTGGAATGAGAATTAAAATCATGACATATACGGCGGAATGGCTCATTTAGTTCAAAATTTGATCTACACCATTTTAACAGTAAAGGTCTAAGCTGCCTCGAAAAGCGAACCGGGATATTAAATTTAATTTCAGACAGGAGAAAAGAACTACAAACTGTTCCATTCAAGATTTTCACTAAGAATATTATGCCAAGCATTTCCCTATGACTAGAAAGTGTGGGTAGATTAATAAGTTTTAAACGACTAGTGTATGGAGGTAGACTTACCCTAGAATCCCATCGGAAATGCGCTAAGGCGAAAAGTAAAAATTATTTTTGAACCGACCACCATGCAACCAAATTGTGTAAGTCAGTTTGCAACAGACACCTTTCCTTAGTTGAAGAGTATGATTTAAAAAGTTTTACGTCAGCGTATAATAAAATTTTTGAGAATTCTATTACTGAAGAAATATCGTTAATAAACAACAGGAACAGAATCGGGCCATTACAACACATTAATTGTATCTGAAAGTGTATCCTCAAATATCACTCGTTGTGTTCTATTATAAAGATAGGAAGATACCCATTGAAGGAATTTTGGCTGAAAGCCCAGCAGATCAAGTTTATGTATGAGTATCGAGATATTTACTTTATCGAAAGCTTTGCTAAAGTCTGTGTATATAACATCCGTATGCTTATGTTCCCTGAAAAATGACAACAGAATCGACACAGTTTAAAGAGGAATGCACGTATAACCCA